TTCCTCAACAAAAGGAGGCCGAGTTTATTATTTGGTTGAATGACTTTAGGAATGATCTTCTAAGCAGGCAAGGAAATGTCTTTGAGGGACACAAATTACTATGGGAAGTCTTAAGAAATTGGCAATCTTTGATTTTTAGATTTCCAAGCTCAGACCCTAAAATGAATTCTAATTTCCATCATCTCCCAAATTTTAGTCTAGCATGCAGGAGGGCAGAAGTCTTGGACTCCAAATCTTAGAATGAGCAGGAGGGATCCAATAAGACTTTTAACTAATTCAGAAGTGATGACTGGGCACTGCCAGTATGGGCCCCACTCTGTAACCAAGCTGACTAAGGTAACCTTGGAACTGCTGGTCAGGACTTATTGAATGGCAATCCTGGGTATCTCAATTTATTTATTGAATCAGGTGAATTAACATATTTATAGAATATTTTCCCCCAATTTAACTGAGTTTGCATTGGAGGGGTATCCACGGCAAATGATCAAAATGAAAGGCAAGTAGCTGCAATCTAAGCATTACCCCTTTTTATGTATGCATGTAACTAAAGGACCTGGCTTGGATTGTAGCATTGTACTCACTATCAGTCAAATTTTGACCCTCCCTATGAATGATGCTGGTTTGAACAATTTGTGTTTTAACTGAGTCCTTCCATCCAGGCCTCTATTTAAAATTCCACAGGAATTATACCGAAACAATTCCACGGATTCTTAACTTTCCTTGTTTTGTTTTGACAGAGGCAAAAACGATACAAAGAGGACATATTTGGAGCAACGTTTCCAAGAGAGAACCAAAGAACTATGGAAGAAATAAAAACTGAAAGACCCCTAAAAGTCTTAGAATCTCAAGTCCAGCTAAAATTTTAACCGTAACTTCCTACACAGAGGCCTTCTTTAGCCTCAACAGGGGTCCCCAAATGTTGCTTTCACAGCAGCGTCTGCCAACGTGGACCAGTTTAAGCAGAAATTTGCACCACAAAACCAAATAGTTTGGGTTTTGGATAAAACACTACATATTGTACTATTTTATTTAATTATATTTAATTCTTTTAGACTATGTATGTTTTATTGGAACTTTTGTAGTGATCAGTCTTTATTATATTATTATTTAAATTCCATTCTTGGACAAAGGGGCAGCTTTTGTGGGCTGTTTTCACCCTGCTTTTGTATGTTCAGAAGAGAAAAGACTAACCTCATTTAAAACCAAAAACTGGAACTTCTTGTAGGTGCTTGCATAAGGGCATGTAAGGAGAGGATTTTTTTAAAAAATCAAGATGACAACAGTAACTACATGATCATCACACATAAAAAGGGATAGGAATTAATTATGCCATTGCAGTTGCCATCTTGACTTTTCTGACTTCCTCTGTGGATGTTCCTGGCCTTCCATAATATATGCCTAATGCACTGCTGTTGGGAGTCATGTTTTCCAGGCTCATAATGTTACAAGGAAAGGATTGTGGTTTCTGGACCTCCTTTTTCCTAGGTCTGAGAGAGGGATTGGCTGAAGGGTCACCCAGCAGACTTTGTCCCTAAGACAGGGCTAGAACTCACAGTTGTTAGCTAGTGCCTTAACCTTTACACCAAGCTGGCTCTCAACACCACATCACAACCCGATTTCACATTCCAATAGTATCAACCCATCCCCAATATGTTACTACAGTATTTGCTGAAAACGAGTCTACTCTTTTGAGAACTTCAACATTGGCATTACAGCCACCTTTCAAACAAAGGACCAGCATTTGTTGAGACAGGATTGGTATTGATGATCCTAATCTTAAATAAGACCTCTGTCCCAAATGGTGGCCTATTGATTGTCCTACCTTGAATGTTCTTCAAGAGCCTGTCTTGCCCTTCTGAAGGAGCTGGTCTCTATCACCACAGGGCAAATAAAATCAGATCATCTATTGACTTTAACATGTGTTTTTTGTCTCACATCTTGGGGAATTGGGAAGGATCAATGTGAGGGGGAAAAACTGTACAAAAGAACTTGAATAAAACCATTTGTGAGTTCCTCATTGGCATTATTCATTTTTCTACTTGATTGCGTAAACTTGGGAGAAATAACTGTCCATCATAGATTAGCAGAATTCTCCAATCATTATCTGAAGTGTTCAGGGTTCTGCAGCTGATGTCAGAGCTAGAATGCTGAAGAACCAACTCCCAGTGTTTAACTGATTCTTATCTGGATAAATTTGGAGCTTCTTTTGACAAGATGGCCTCCACACATTGGGCTGTTTTTCATGGACTAGCTTTTTCCATCTGAGCAATTCACAAAGTTCCTGGGCTGTAGTTCTTTGCTGTCAGGGGAGCACTTGAACATATCCATCCATCCATTTATCCATCCAAATCTGTTACAGCTGCCCACTCCAATAGAGTCTATGTGTAGAATAATGAGTGACCTTCCTGAATGGGATCATGGCTCTCCCAATCACACAAGGATTGTTCTAGTTGCTTTCCCCAGAAGCTATCACGAATAGCGCATGGAGGTGGCTAAGCTAAGCTGCTGGTCTCACATGGCACATGGCAAAGAAGACACTTTCTGAAAGTGTGTGACTTGGCACCACTTTGTGAGGAAGCAAAGGAACAAATGGCACAGAAATGGCCATTTTCTACTCATCTGATACTGTCAATGAGGGCTGAGAAGTGGGTTTCCTTTTCTTCAAAACTGTCCCCACTCTAAGGTAGAGCAGAAGAAGCATCTGCTCTGAGATGATAACACTTGGGTTCCTCTGTGCAAGCCGCTGATATCCTTGACTGATGTTTAAAGTTTTCTTTTTTTCCCCCTCCCCAATTACATTCTTTATAAGCCTTTTAGACTGTACATTGAAAGACAGAGACTATTATTTTGTAAGCTGTTCTTCGGCAAGCAAAGTGCTTTTTAAATGCTCTGACATCACCCAAATAAACTGGGCACCATCTGTCAGAAATATTATTGGCACTTGTCTCATTGAATGTCAGTTTACCACACTTGAGTCAGCAAACAAAACTAGATATGAACAAAACTAGTTTATTCAAACAATTAGATTGGAAGGGAAAAAAGTGAACTATGGTTCTTAAAAACTGAAAAGAGCATTTGTTCAAACTTCAGGTAGTAAAGTTCAACATTTCACATCAATTGCATCTCCATCCAAAAATGGACCTCGACTGGAAACTTTAAGCCTGGATGTCGGCCAACGTTACGTCACCGTCCACTTCGAGCAGATTTATCTGAAGCAGGTTATGTATGCAGTGGTTGTAGTCAAACTGATGAAGTCCGTTCACAGCTACCTTGAAGCGGTGTGCACATCTATGCAGTGGTGGGATTCAAATAATTTAACAACCGGTTCACTGCCCTAATGACCGGCTGGGTAGGCGTGGCTGGGTGGTCATGTGACTGGGTGGGCGTGGCCAACTCAACACTCACGTCGAGGGATGCCTCGCCATGCCCGGCCACGTCTCACCCTTCCCCTCCCAGCCACTCCTTGTAACACCTGGCCTTGCCTTACCTCGACTTATGACCACAATTGAGCCCAAAATTTATGTTGCTAAGTGAGAAATTTGTTAAGTGAATTTTGCCCCATTTCATGACTTTTCTTGCCACATTTGTTAAGGGAATCACTGCAGCTGCTAAGTTAGTAACATGGTTGTTAAGTGAATCTGGCTTCCCCATTGACTTTGCTTGTCGGAAGGTTGCAAAAGGGGATCATATGGCTCTGGGAGACTACCATCGTATATAGGGGACCCAGGTTCAAGTCTCTGCCCTCTCAAGATCACAATAAAATTAGCACATGCACAGATAACTAAATAAACTTCAAACCTGGTGCCATGTTATTAAGCCTAATTATCATGAGAGAAAACTAAAATGAATTGGAAGGAGGATTCACACTCGTACCTCCCTTTTTTTAAAAAAAAAAATCTTACTATAAGTGAGCAATCATGTGCCTTTGGCCACTCTGAAGCAATGCAAGAGACTCCAAAGATGCTTTTTCAAGAGGCAACTGGACTTTCTGGAAACCAAGAAAGTCCAGTTCCCTCTTGAAAAAAAACCACTTGGGGACAACCACGACCTGGATGAATGGAGCATCCCCAAAGACAAGAGGCTCCTGTGCTCCACCCAGGAGAAGCAATCCTTAGATCCTTTTTAACTCTTAAAAGATACCAGCTGGTCTCGTTCAACTCACATGATATCCTAAGGAAATCATCCAGATTTAAGGAAAGGTTGCATTGGAGGGAAAAGGGAAAGACACAGCTTGAAAAAGATTTCTTTTTCTAGGCAGCATTGTTTAACTCTATCAAGCAGGCAGTGGTAATCTGAAAAGATTACTTCATTGCTTTCCCATCAGTGGGTTGGGGAGACATCCTGTAGCCTTTTTTTTTTGGTAACAAACAAGCAAAGAAGCCAAAGAGTAGCCAGATCACTCCATTTAGAGAAGATTACAGATCCAAGTAAGAAAGAGGCCCGTGATCGCCCCCTCCCACCCTTAATTGGGGACTAAGGAGGCAAGGAGTAGCTGAGAGGGGATTCAGCCTGTTCAAAGTACACCCAAAAAGGACAATGCCAGGAACCACTAAAGCAGTGTAAAAAGCTTAAAACAACTCTTCCCTTTTAAAAAAGTCAAGCCCCAGAGTAAAACTACCAGCAAAGGAAAAATAACTCCAGAGAAGTCACTCAGGCTACAGAAAGTCTGGGTGTACTGCCAAGAACCATTAACAGCTGTTACAATGTAAGCAGGCTTTAACTACAGAGGCAGTTTTTGAAAACACTAAAGCAGGGCAATTAAAAAAAGCAGGATTCTACTAGAAACAACACACTGAGGCACACCAAAATGTCTCCTTCCTGCCTTGCTAATAGGATTAACCCCTTAAGGTGGGGAAAACAAAAGGCTGTTGGAAGGAGATTTCTTCTAACAGCCGGTTTGCCGAACTGCTCAGAAAGTTAACTACCAGTTCTCCCAAATTAGTGTGAACTGGCTGAATCACAACACTGCATCTATCCAAAAATGAACCTCACTGACGACTTTAAGCTTGGATGTTGGTCAATGTTATGTCACCGTCCACTTCGAGCAGATTTATCAGAAGGCTACATATGCGATGGTTGTAGTCAAACTGATGATGTGTATTCACAGCCACCTTAAAGCAGTGTGCTTCACACTGAATCCAGATCTATAAAAAGAAAATGCACATCTCTGATCACCTTAATGGAACCCGATAATATAACCCAGATCTTTTAAATTTGTATTTAATCTATTAACATCACAAATTACCCATTTCCCAGACAACAAAGCAGCAAAGGTGTTTCACAGAAGCAACACCTGCAAGATCTGATGATGTCCTCAAAGTCACTAAATGAGTATCCAGAACAATTAAAAGTAACTTTGATACAGATTTTAAGTACTGAGACTTCAACCTAATGCATGGATTGGTACTGCACCCCAAATTTGGATTTATCTTAGAATCATATTTCAATTTTACAAATTTAAATCATAGTAAATGCTTAGTAATAAGGATGAAGTGGATACATTGTATTATATTATTTATATATTATATTATTAGTAACATAGTATAATGTATTCTTGTATTTGGTGGTTTATGTTGTGCTAATCATGGTTCAGATATTTATTACTAGTTCAGGTTCAACAGTGATTTTAGTTGGTAACTGAATTGTGAAACAGTGATTTGCTTTATGGCCACTGTAAAAATAGTTGTAAAATCAGGTAACAGGGTGAGTTGACTTACAACTGCACCAATTTATGACCAAAAATCCAGTCCTAATTTTCATTGTAAGCAGTGCAGCTTTTAAAAGAGTGTTACTGTATGGGCAAACCAAGGATCCTGAAATCAATGCAGTAGGCTAGCCTGATAAATGCAAATTTAAGTCAGTTCACACAATCCCTTGGCCCAGGTGGAGTAACCAGACTGCTTTGACTTACGGTAAAGGGTTGGCCACGCATCAGAGGCATCCCACAGGGTAGGTGTCTTTCCTCTGAGCCCCAGCACATGTTGAGCAGAGAGTTTCGAACAATCGCGTTCTGATCAAACCGTGGGTTGATATGTAAAGCAATACAGTTCCCCACTTTCAGATTGATCTCGAACCTACATAAAAAACCCAAATGTTGCGCTGCACAATTAGCAGGAAACTATCCACATCCAGAAAGTACACTATGAACATTCTAATTTCTGAAGATATTATATTGCTGATTCAAAAGCCATTATTTTTCTCAAAGGAAATCAAAGGATCTCCACTTCTGGAAAAAAGAGGTAACTCAATAGATAATAGATAAATAGAGAGAGAGAGATGATAGATGATATAGAGATGATATAGGTGATTGATACAGATAGATGACTGATAGATACAGATAGATGATAGAAATAGATACACAGAGATACTGTATATGATATAGAGATAACCACATCGTATCCTATCATGCACGGAGGGTGACTACTAATGACTGTTTTTCTTTGCACTTGAGAAAAATAATACAGCAAAGTTCATTTTATCATATTTAGTACTCTTGGAATGGGTGTGTGCATGCCTGGATGTGTGTCCTTTCCACTCATTTTATTTCATAAGGCAAGGTAACAGATGTGAACAATGAGCGAAGGTTCATTCTGTTACCCAACTGGCTGGGCCTCTGGCTGGCAAACTTTGTTCCTGGAAGGAATATTTAAGAAGTATCGCCAACTCATTCTAGGCATGCTGGTGTTCATTTGCGGTATCCCTTTTATCATGTTGATGGAGCCTCGCTTTATTCCCCCACCACCACCAACATGTTTATTTACTTTTTATGGCTAAAGATAAAATACAAAACACAGAAACACACTTGCATTATACAGTTGTCTCAAAGGTGCCTTTTTAAAAAGGCAACTGACTGTTTTTAACTGTGCAGCCCCAAACCACTCATTTGAAAGGAATTCAGAATAAATAAAATCCTGTGGAAGAAAGTTTTACCAACAATATTTCTTAGCGTTTACCTCCGAGCACAAGGAGACACAGAACCTGAGACCATTATTGATTTGGATGGGAAAAAGCCCCCACAGATGGTAGCTCGGTAAGGGAGAGGCTGTGGAGAGAACACACAAACAATGTTAGAATTAATCTGAATTTTCCCCCATTTTGCACCTTAAAGTTATCAATCAGAATTTAGCAAAGGCCGATTGGTGTATATAGGTGTTCAGTGGAGTGAGTCTGAAAAAATAAAAATGTCTGCTGCCACCACATAATCAAACCCCAGCTCTTTTTCATGTGTTAGATGCTCATTCACATAAAGAGAGGTCAGAGCTTCTATTGCCATGTCGACTTTTTAAACTTCCTCCTGGGACATCTTTAAGCATAGATTTTTTTCCCCTGAGAATGCACCAATAGCTCTTCCTGGTCATAGTTGTAAATGTCCACTGATGGCCTTAGCCTCTGGCTAAGATTTTTTTTCCCAAAGAACCAAGACCATACCATGATTCAGTGCTGATCTCTTAAGATTTCTTTTCAGAAGGTTTTCTTGCCCAAGCCATTCAGATTTCCCACAATGCCCAAGGAGCCTAGTTAAATCTGGTGCATTGTGGGAAATTCCAATGATGCTCAAGCCCAGCCCACAGCACTG